AGCGTTGGCTTTGTTGCTTTTGTTGTTCCTAAGGCCTGCCTATGAAATACCTTCTGAGAAGTTAACTGCCGGTTTGGTTCCGAGCATTTTAACGTTGTTATGTTAGCATCATGCGGCGTTCGCAGGACATAATTTTTCCGCGCGATGACATGGACATAAGTAAGGACGAAACAATTGGGCTAGCGGCACGCCACGCTCTGTTTGCCGCTCGCAAACGTTTTTAGTTATCATTCGTGAGTGGTAAGCAGAGCGTGGTACGCCGCGAGCCGAAACCTTAAATCAATGCACTCCACTACCGCTCTATGTTTGGACATAAAGGACGTTGTGCCAAAATTTTTTTTTGCGCTATCTTCCCCATCTCACAATGTCTTGAACTCCGCATTGGTCTCCGATTCAGGGTCTTCATCTCTGCCACTCGTAACTTGCCCTTAGTTTTGTTCTGAGCGCTCTGAGTACCTTCGGTTAGTTCATCTTCAGCCCTTACTTTAGTCGTATCGTTAGTGTTTAATCTGTGTATAATCGTGTACCTCTTTGTATCAGCAAGTTCAGTACGCCTCCCAACCGCACTCTGTGTAATGCCTTGGACAAATTACATTTTCCAAACTTTCTTTTTTCCTCCATACAAATCCTAGTTCATAGTCCATATCGCTGATGAATTTCCTCAAATATTCTTTATATGTGTTTTATTCTCAAGTTTACTTCGTTACTTACAAAGTATATTCAGTTGAGGTTTCGGTTGTGGGTGTACTTTTGTATATATTTAATTATGTGTCTATCTTGTTAAAGATATATTTGTATTCTTCTACTATACAGTGCTAGCGTAAAGTAACCCCCCCCTGTTTAACTTTTGAACAGATTGAGATATCAATATGAGCAAAAAAACGTCAGTTTCTATATTTTATCAGCACAAATATTGTCTTATGGAAAATTTTGCTATCACTTTTAGTTTTTCCGGAAAATGGATCAACTTTGTTTTTTTAAATGGAACACCCAGTATATTATGGTATCTTTCGAAAGAATAAAACAATACGAATCCAACGATACCTCACAATCAAATATCGGTTTATTAGTTTTTTACATAAATATTAAACAAAATGCGAAATTTCGCCGGAAAAACCAACGCATCTTCGTTGACTACCTGTCGAGATACAATGGGCCAGATAAATGGTGGACGGTCAGTTAAAGGTCGGTCTACGCTCGGGTTAAGCAGGGTTAAAATCGGCAATTCTTTTAGAATGTTTTTATGAAACAATCAATGCAAGAAAAGGATAAAAAGAAAGTTCTTCTTAAAACTTCTAAGAAAAAATTGTCATAACAACAATTTTAAAGTTTGTAGGTACCTTGAAATTTTCTATTTAAGGCAGCATGCAAATATTGTCCTTCATTTCTATCTTGGAATTCTACCCGACCAAGTATAACCAAAGAAAAGCGAGATCAAAATGGCTAGAAGGAGTTTAGAGCACAAAATCGGAGGAATTTTAATATTCCCTCGTGCTGACAGAAATGTACATGAAACAGAGCGACAATTTAATGAACGATTTCCTGAACATCCAATTAGTCGAAAATATTTAAGAGAACTTGTAAATAAGTTTTTGGAAACTGGAAGCGTCGAGGACCGCAAAAGAACTGGTCGTCGTTCGATTTCTGAAGACACACAAGTGCAGATGTTAACAGAAGTAGTTAATGCGTGCATGATGTCGTCTGCTGCTATCGCATCAACGTGTGATGTGGGTCCAACAACGGCGGGGAAATATTTTTAGATTTGTTTCAGTGATGAATGTACTTTCTTTTTGGATGGAAAATTGCATCGGCAAAATGTACGTTACTAGAGTGATTTTAGTCCACATGAATATCGTGAAGTTAACACTCAATTTCCCAAGAAAATAAATGTTTGGACAGGCATATTGGGAAATCACATCGTGAGACCAATATTCCTAACCGAAAATTAGACCGGAATTGTATTTAAGATTATTAGAAGAAGATATTAATCCAAGTCTTTTGCAAATTGTACACCAGAATCCTGACGATTTTGAAATGGCTCCTCCACATTATGTGGCAATGGTACGAAATTATCTTGATACAAATTTTAATGGACGGTGGATCGGTCGACGTGGGCCGATTGAATGGCCAACAAGATCACCAGATCTGACACCTTTAGATTTCTTTTTATGGTGTTATTGACGAAATTATTGACGTCTGCCAAAATATTGATCATCACATGTTAAGCCGTGTGAGAGGAAACACTACAAAAATGTTTGTTCCTAATAAATAAAAAATTCTTTTATTATTCAATAACAACACTAAGCCAATTTTTCAACCAATACGGCAAAATCTTTAATAAAAAAAATTTCATTTCTTATATTGACTTTGATTTTTTTCTTTATAAATATTTTTTGATAAAATATGATTAATTCATAAATTTAATATACTTCAAAAATAAGTAAGGGAACTATCAATTTTAAATCCGTCTTAGCTCGAGCGTATACCTACCGTTAACCTACCGACCACCATTTAACTGGCCGATTGCATTTCGACAGGTAGTCGACGAAGATACGTTGGTTTTTCCGGCGAAATTCCGCATTTTGTTTAATTTTTATGCGAAAAACTAATAAACCGATATTTGATTGTGAGGTACCGTTGGATTCGTATTGGTTTCATCTTTCGGAAAATACCATAATATACTAGGTGTTCCATTTAAAAAAACAAAGTGGATCCATTTTGCGGAAAAACTAAAAGTGATAGCAAAATTTTCCATAAGAAAATATTTGTGCTGATAAAATATAGAACCTGACGTTTTTTTGCTCATATTGATATCTCAATCTGTTCGGAAGTTAAAAAGGGGGGGGGTTACTTACTTTACTTGTTGTGTTGTATTTTTAGAGTATATAATCCCTCTTGTTTGATTCGTTTCTATTTTGGCGGATGTGACTGTTCTTGCGCTTAGTATTTGCTATGGAAGTATTACTCGATTTGTAGTTATATATTCTATCTAGTTAAAGATATACATATTTGTCTTGTTCTTTATGTGATAAGTATACAGCGTGTCCCGTATCTTCCGCATCAGAGCATTATACGGTTGTAGGATACATTATTCTGAAGCGATCTTTCTAATAAAATTTTTTGGAAATGTTTATAATAACNCGGTAAAACTAAAACTGATGGCAAAATTTTCCATAAGAAAATATTTGTGCTGATAAAATATAGAAACTGACGTTTTTTTGTTCATAGTGATATCTCAATTTATTCGGAAGTTAAACAGGGGGGGTTACTTTACGCTAGCACTGTATGTGTTTTCTTCTCAAGTTTACTTCGTTACTTACAAAGTATATTCAGTTGAGGTTTCGGTTGTGGGTGTACTTTTGTACACCCACTACAGACACCCATTATAACTATAGACACCCATTATGTGTCTATCTTGTTAAAGATATATTTGTATTCTTCTACTATACCGATTGGTAACTTTAATTTTAGGAGATACACCCAACACGGACGTACGTATAAGTATACGTGTGTGTGTATATTCGGTGTCGTTAAGTGGGGGATAAACAAGCGTAGGGGTAATGCACAAATTGNTGAATCAAAGTTGTCCGTTATTGGTCGTCGTTAAACAGTTCCCGTGCGGTTATTATAAACATTTCGAAAAAATTTTATTAGAAAGATCGCTTCAGAATAATGTATTCTACAACCGTATAATGCTCTGATGCGGAAGATACGGGACACGCTGTATAAGTTGTTTAGCTTTGCCGTGTTGTATTTTTAGAGTGATTTTATTTGTTTGATTATGTTTGTTTAGTTGTTTGATCGACGATATTTGTTTATTCGTTTGATTATATTTTTTTATTCGTTGATTTGTTTGATTTGTTCGATTTGTTTGATTTGTTTGATTTGTTTGATTTGTTCGATTTGTTTGGTTTGTCCGATTTGTTTGTTCGATTTATTTGTATAGCAACAGTGCTGCTATACACCCTCCTCCTTTATCCGAGCTTGGGACCGGCAAGGTGCTATCTCAGCATCCCAGGCGGAGTTGATTTCATGTCATGTGTAAAATTAGAAACAGAAAACCAAATAAATTAAGAAACAGAAATCTTGAAATTTTATAAAAACATAACTTGTCCACACAAACTGCATTCTAAAATTACCAAATTAAATTTAACCAAAAAGAACAGGATCTGCTCAATAAAGGACATAAATACACTATATCACCACACTGAGAAAAATTCTATGAAATTTACAACTATATCATGGTATGAGTTACAATAAATTTATTATACTCATAACTTTTACTATGATTTTTTTGTAACATTTCCTTAATTAATTTCCTTAATACTGTAAATTTACAATATAGAGAATAAAATTACTTATAAATTTCTTTCTTGATTGTAAATTTTCCTTATAGGGATTAATTTTACCATCTCAACTGAATAATACGAACATATCATAGGGTCCAAATTACCAATGTGTAGATTGTAAATCGACCTTATTATTTTTCTCAGTGTAGAAATGAAAGCATTTTTCTTCCAATCGGGTTTTGTTTTCGAGATAATCGTCTTCAAAAATACGGTATACCGAGTAAGCGTACTCGTTTCCAATGACGAGTTACCGCCGCCCCGACCCCGAGGGGTCAGAGGGCGCTCACGCGTACTCACAACTGCCACTAAACACGTGCGAACGCATAAATTTAGTTTAGTAAATTAGCAATTGTAATGCGCGCGATGATGTCGTCTGTTCATCTTGAGTACCACTAAAGTACTCAGTCTTGACCGTATTAAATGTGGACAGTTGCCATCGGTTAGATCTTGCCGAAACCTCTGCCCCTTTCCAAGGGTATCCAACAAGAAGAACGGATGAAATCTCGGACCGACAAGCATTACGCATTAACAATATGAACACCCTATATACATACACAATTCTTTGATAATTATAGATCGGAACAGGATCTCTCTAGGGCCCATAAAGAAAAAGGTAGCTCCTCATTCTTCGCAGCTTTTAGAAAACCTTACCGCAACATGTATTAATGCATTCTGATCAGTATTTGCTATCAAGCGTCCTACCGAATCTCTCCATTCTAGTTGACTTATCAGGTTGGGTTCGGATACACGTGGCCTACATGTTAAACTCAAACTCTTTGCAGCTTGCTGAATAATTACTGGCAAATCTGGTTTGATCTCTAAAGCAGGATTATCAGTTGCACTGACTAAAACTGAAACAAAAAAACCTTATTAATAAGATTATTCGATAATTGAAATTATAAGAATTTAAACGATAATAAATAAGTTTGAGAATGATAAACAAAATAAAGTAAAGCCTAAAGGATCTACTTTCAAACAATGCACAAAGAAAGCGGTAATTTTGGTCATCATTCCCTAATTTCGAATAAAAATTGTAGAAAAAATCACTGTGACTTTATTTATGGATACCAAGTCATGATTTTTATATCAAATTAAAGTCTAAACTATCTACAATACATATCAATAGCTTTGATTATGAAACTATTTACGATAAATAATAAATAAAAATCTGTAAATTTAAAATTGAAAAAATTCAGAAAATTACTTTGACTTTATTTATAGATACAAAGTCATTTAGATACAAATATCATACAAATCAGCATCTTTATTTACAGATAAAAAATCATTACTTACAAACATTGCATAATTGCAATATATACGTTTGATTACAAAAAGATTGCGATAAATAATAAATAGAAAACCTACAATTTTCTTCTGAAGCATAATTTGCATCCTTTATGACCAATCCCAAAATTACCATTTAACTCAAATTTCTTAGAGAAAGTATGGAATATCATGTAGATATTTAAGTTTTAAAGGTTATTAATAAACGAAATAAAACAACAATTTTAAAACACTGTTCATAGCTGTATATTTTTCCATAAATCAAGATTTCAATTTCATATACAATTTTGCAAATTTTTTTATAATTTCATACTACTTTTATTAAAGTTTAAAAAGAATACTTTTGTAACCTTTGCAGAAACTAACAGAAATTGAAATGTCTAATTTATTTTGTATATAAATTGATAAAGGTTATCAGGATCATTTTTGATACGTGTACAAACAACTTTGTCTCGTTAACTTTGTAGTTGAAATTTTTAACTTTAAATGAATAGACTAAATATAATTTTTAAGTAATTGGTTTACACCAACTTTTTTAATTTTTCACCGATGTTGAACAAATTTGTAATTTTGTGATAGCAAAATATATTTTTTAAACTTAATCCAATGACAACCAAGAAACAAATAAGCATAGTCTCCTTTATAAACGTGCCTGATTAATTCCTACTCACCTGTTATTGTAGTGAAACTGGTTACGGTGATAATCAGCATGTAGAACGGCATACTACCCATGCTTGGTTCGCAAAAATCTGTCGAGATCTATAACAAAATTCAAAAAAATCAAAAATGAATACATAGTTACCCAAATTTAAAAATACTAGACTTTTCGCGTTAAGTAGGCGACGAACGAGATGCCACTTGGGAATTCCAAGATGCGAAAACTTATTATCGGTTTTAATTATAATACTTTTCTTATCCTACGTACGAGGACAAGGTTATCAATTCATGACATAGTAGTGACTTTATTTATGGATATTCAGTTAAAGAATATTAAGTCATAATTTTTATACAATATTAATAAGATAATGATCAAAACTACAGATTTCTTATTTATTATTTATCGCAATATTTTTATAATCAAACCTACTAATTAATATGCATTGTCTAAAAGTAGATAGTTTGTGCAACATATCCTAATTTTGTATAGTTTTTTGGTTACTGTCATTATTATTATACTTATAGTATATGTAGTATAGTAGTTATAATAAATGTAGTGAGTTTAAGAGCATTTTGTGTAAGCTTATTGGCTTAAGGTTTGTTGTAGGTCTTTTCATTACAAATCAAACATTTCAGTCGCTGAGTCCAGAATTTCGTAACAAACACCATATAAACATTTCACACATTTGCCAAATATGCATCAAATTGTTCGCTTCCAGAAAATTCGGATGCGGAGCCTACATATAGTCCCATACCCTAGTTTATGTTCTAAACAGTTTACTTTCAGACTCGTAATCAACATAATCCATGTTAGTCCTGTAGCTGAGGAACTTCAACTTTTTTTTTAATTTCTTCTATTCTACTTATACATATAAAGTTGACGTTGAAGATTCTAAAGTGAGCTACAAAAATGTAACACGTTGTTAACATATGCAAACTAGAATAATTTATTTGCTTTGATGTCGTGTCTTTGTGTAGTGGCTTTGAAAGGTAAGTTTTTGGTCAAATGTCACACCAAGATCTCTAATATGAGATACTCTCGACATGGTTGTACCCCCAAGACCATAGTCGTATTTAGTTAAGTTCAACTTTCTTGTGAAAGAAATTATATAACATTTGCTCAAATTGAGCGTAATGAGGTTCGAGTCGCAGTACTGTTGCAAAACGTCAACGTCACGCTACAACCCCGAGCAATCCAGAGTTGAGGACACACGCGTAAATAATTTTAGATTATCAGCGTACATTAAGAGGTGAGAAAGTTTCAAAACAGCAAATATATCATTAATGTAATTCTTAGAATAAACACCAACTGTTTCGAATCTGGAATCACACCAAGATCTTTGATAAAAGTGACACATTTAATAGATTCAATACCAAGTATATTTGAAAAATCAATGTTATATCTTTTCCTGTTAAAAGAACTTTTAGAGCATTTTTTCGTAATTTAGTAAAAGTTCGTTTTTATAACTATATGTGTTAAAACGATAGAGATCGCTTTACAATTTAATACAGTCAGCAACTGCACCTATAGAAAAGAAATTTTACAATCATCCGCATACAATAAGAAACGCGTTATGGTTTGGAATTTAATATATTATGATTTATGATCGATCTTATCTAAAGCTTTGCTGAAGTCTGTGTGTATGGAATCCACTTGACAATTATCATTAAGTGAATTTTGAATGAAATTGACATAAGTAGTTAAATTAGATTCTACAGATCTATCAGGCAAAATACCAAATTATACAATGATAAAAAAAGGTTTTATAGAAAAATAAATGTTGTAGCGAACCGCAATTACCGCAGGTTCGTTTAAAATTTATTGATTCATTTTTGTCTTTGATTTTCAATTTTTGCTTTATTATTTTGAAAAAGGTTCTCCGTATGATTTCTGCCCTAGTTTAGTTTAGTCCGGAACGTTTTCGACTGTCCGAGTTATTCCAATGGAAACGATTGGTTAGATTAAGAGCGCTCAGAAAGAAAGGGTTTAAAAATCTCAGACGGGAGAAAAGAAAGTTAGTTGATGGTTTCGAGTCGCTTGAGGAGTTAGTTTTGGGAGTTGAGTTCGAGTTGGTTTTTGAAGAGGAAGTGATTTGAAGAAGATGGAAGCAGTCAGAGGAGTTCGAAAGAAGAGTTTGAGGTCCAGAAGAGAGTTGAGTCGTTCGTTGAAAGACGCCCGTTGTAATGATGAGATTTGTAACCCTTTGTGAGTAATTTCATGTAATAATTATTGTACTAATTGCTTATGTTCTACTTTGTTTGGTACGTCTCGCTTGGTTATTTTGTTATTTTCGGTGACTGATTCTTTCAATTTAAGATTTTCAGCAGCGACACTGTCAATGGTCTTAACTTTCTCTCCAAACGACTTATGGCTGGTTTAGGATATCAAACGTAACCGTAACCGTAGTTGTAACCGTAACATTAAGGAACTTAACGTTTACAGCTGACCCGTTTAGGAAGCAACTTTAAGATTTTAAAATTTAAATATGTAGTTAATAAAATAACGAGAAAAGTACGGAATGTTTAAAAGTAAAAGTGTGTGGTGAACTCTGTTCACCACTTGCAACGCTACTGCAACATGTTTCAGTACTTGCAACGAGTGTTTCAGTACTTGCAACGAGTACTGAAACACCAGCCCGTTATGTCAACATGTAAACACAAAACAGCTGTACGTAGCCAAGTTTAACATTGACCCTTCGCATTAGTGCGCATACTCAAATTTTGTCCCAAACATAAGAAGTTAAAAGTTGGTCAACTTTAGGTGTTACGGCTACATCGGCCATAGCAGACCGTAGTCTTAAGCGGTTCCCTAAACGGTGCTATTGAAACACATTGGTTTAACTTTTTTTACTGCTACGGCTACGGCTACAGTCGTTAAGTTTGACATCCTAAACCCACCATTAGGTGTCTTATCAAAATCAGAAATCATGTCCACCATAGAATAACACGGATTTAAGTAATTCCTCACATTTGGAATTCATATTTTTTATTTCCGTTTGGTTGGATTTTAATAGTGAAAACAACTGGGTGTTAGACGGAATGGAAGAAGAGGACGGATCATCATCTAGGATACGTAGAGTGTACATCAACCACCAGTATATCCTCTAGAGAATTGATCTGCAAAAGCATTAACTATGTTTTCAGGATCAGTGTAGGTTGATTTATCACACATCATTTTGCCAGGAAGTCGAGAGGTCGTTGTTTTCTGTCTAATGTAACTCCAAAAGTTACCGAGATCAGAACTAAGCGATTGTTCAGCACTAATAGTATACGCATCAGAGATTTTTTGTTTTGTCAAACACCTGTCTTTTATATTCCGCTGAATAGAAAGCACTATTGCTTCTCCTCCACTTCCTCCTATAATACTCTTTCAACTTTAATAACCGCTTAATTTCTGGAGTATACCAAATAGGGTAAGAGGATCTACGACACAATCTCTTAGGAACAAATAAATCCAAAATCTCATACAACTTTGTATAGAAAGCTCGCAGAGCATCTTCCGCAATGTGGAGGTTAACATTTAGAAAAGACCAATCCGTGTAAAGTAGTTCATCATACAAGCCAGGAAAGTTGGCTCTTCGAAAATTATAGCGACCACCCAAAGACGGAAGGTTCGGCAAACCATCATTTTCCGTCAGTAAATTCATTGTAATATCTAAGGCGGGATGGTACCGATCCTCGTTGACGAGGGGACAATCAGCATGAACAAGCTCAAACTGATGATCGGTATTTGCAAGAACCAAATCCAATAGACGATTGTCACAGAAGTTGTATAAAGTTGATACCTACTCAAGATATACAGGATGTTCCGGTGACTCGGGGAATAAAATTAACCTTATATACTAGAGCAAAAATGATGACGATTGGTGATAAAAATTTATTATAAAAGTCTTCAAATGGCCAAGATATGGGCCATCAAAGTTCAAAAATTTTAACACATTTTTCTAAATATTTTTTCAATACCATTTATGGTAGAGCGTTGAAATTTGGTACAGGGTAAACAAATATCAAGCAAAATCATTGAACCAATTTTGACTTTGATCGGGCGGCGGCAACCATGCTATACAGGGAGTCCCTAAAATTTGTTTGCTCAGAACTTTCGATCGTAACCCTACATTTATTTTTGCAGTTTCTAATAGAAAATTTATTTTAGAAGCTTTTATCACTCTTAGATAATATTGATAAAAATCACCGTTTTCGTGTTAAATGTAAAAATGGTAGGCTCCCATTTCAATAACACTAAAAAAAAAGTCTAAGCCTGCCATGACAATTAACAAACGAATTCATTGACAGTTGTAAACACGCTTAGTCGTTTAAACAAATACTAAAAACCTTGTAGTGTTCGAAATGGAAAATTACACGTTTGGAGAACAAACCGATATGCTTTTAACATTTGGTGAATGCCTTGGAAATTCCGTAGCAGCCGCTAACCGTTATCGGCAAAAATTCCCGAATCGTAGAACCGCCAACAGAAAAACGTTTTCTCGAATTGAAGCCCGATTAAGAGAAAATGGATCACTAAAACATATCTTTCTGAACAACGGCAACCCTAGATCTGTTCGATCTGCTCAATTGGAAGAGTTAATTTTAGAACATGCAAAAGAAAATAGTACCACTAGTACTTCGGACATGGCTAGGCGATTTGGGACGTCAAAAACGACTGTATGGCGTATTCTTCGAGAACAGCAGCTTTACCCATTTCACTGCTGTAAGGTTCAGGAAGTACAGCTTACCGATTATCCAATTAGATTGGAATATTGTCAGAAAATGCAATAGAAAATACAAATTGATAATCAGTTTTTAGAAAAAATACTTTTCACCGATGAACCTACTTTTTCTAAAGATGGAATAATTAATTTAAGGAATTTACATAGTTGGGCTGAAGAAAATCCAAAATTTTTCAAAACTTGGAAATCTCAATGGAGATTTTCTCTCAATGTTTGGGCTGTTTTCTTGCCGTCAAGACTTGATGGCCCTACATACCATCAACATTTGGAAGGATTGGACGAGTTCTTAGTGACGTTCCATTAAATACCAGAAGGGACATGTGGTCTTTTTGAACATTTCCTATAGTATTTTTTATTACTTGTCTTGTTATTTTATGTATTTGTTTTATTTTTTCTGTTAGCGTTGTCGTTAAAATTAAATTTATTGTTTTGTATTATCTTTTATTAAATCAACTAAAACAAATTAAAAAGCGATTTACCTAATCTACACTTGGAAATGTTACATACATACATAATATTTATGACGGCTCAGTTCGATTTGCACTAGTCATGGCCGACTTAGATTTTTTTTTTTTAGTGTTATTGAAATCGGAACCTAACATTTTTGCATTTAACACGAAAACGGTGATTTTTATCAATATTATCTAAGAGTAATAAAAGTTTCTAAAATAAATTTTCTATTAGAAACTATAAAAATAAATGTAGGGTTACGATCGAATAAAAAAGTTCTGAGCAAACAAATTTTAGGAACATCCTGTATAGCATTGTTCCCGCGGACCGATCCAACTTATAAATTACCCAATGGTTTTACGTGATATTAGTTTATACTGTACCAAATTTCAGCACATTACCATAAATAGTGTTTAAGATATTTAGAAAAATGTGTTCAAATTTCATAACTTTGATGGCCTGTATCTTCGAAATTTGAGGACTTAAACTAATTTTTTTTACATGAATCGTCATCATTTTCACTCTAGTATATGTGGTTAAATTTGTTCCCCAAGTCACTGAAACACCCTGTATACTATACATATTTCATACATAATGGGCACTCTGTAGTAGCAGTAATTAGAAATGTAAAAAAACGTAATAACCCTTACTAGAAGAATGAAATAAAGATATGCATAATAGACATTTTTTTGATTAATTTGTCTATGAAACTTATCAAAAAACCTAAAACATATGAAATAAAAGTTGTTAAAAATTTGTTAAATAAAACACCAGAAACATGTAAAACAATAGAGAATAATCCAAATCCAAATGTACACTTTGATGGTAAAGATACCCATAACAGACGGGCTGCACAATTGGAAATGAGTTATTGTAGGCTTAAAATACCTACTGTCATGAAAATAATAATTCAATATAAAATCATTATTCTTTTATTTATGAAGCGTATAACGTTTTAACTTTTAATCAAGGGTACTATAGATCAACTTTTCCTTAAAAAAACGTATAAAAATATTAACGTGACTTCTCATAAAACTAAAATAAAAACTAAAAAAAAAAGTATATAAATAATAGCAGCTTTTTAAACAAGTATTTAGATTCTCCCATAAAAAAACAGCCAAAAGAACAACAAAAAGTAATGTGCTTTTTTTAACATTTACATAGTAAAACTTTGAGTATAATCGTATTCTATCGTCGGAATAACACTTTGCAAAAACTTTAAGAAAATTATTAAGTACATATGAACTCCTAATTCACCTCCATCTTCCGTAACAGTTTCTATGATGCTCTTCATAACTTCAGCATGCCTTAAAGAAATAATGTATGAAATAGATTTAAACTTTCTGATTTTTTTAAAATAATTATTACCTGCATGGATGAACTGAAGCCATTCTGGGAACAGATAAATGGGGGTGAGTCTCCATTGTAACAGTTTTCATAGCATAATCTTTGCTAACATCTTCGTAAGTTTCTTGAATCGTTAATGGTTTGTGTTTCTATATAAATTTGAAAATAAATGAAATTAAATAATTTAGATAATTTTTTCATGATTCACCTCATCATAACCGGTTAACCAAATCCTCGGAGTTTGGTAATATTTATCATAAGTTATATGCAAATCGTAAGTTCTTGTATGAACAATCTCTCCAATTTCTTCACCACCCTTAACTTTATTCTCAATCTTTCCCGGTAAAACTCTCGCCCCCACATCACCTTCCAACATTCCGCTTTCCTCAAAGGCTTCCATATCCTCGGCGTCCTCTTCATCTTCCTCATCTTCGTCACCGCTCCCGTCGTCTTTTTCAGTTTTCAGTGCAGCTTCTTCCATACTCTCAGATTTCTCAGGTTCTTTTTCCAAATTCATCTCATTAATCTTTTCATCTAAATTTGAAATATTCGGATCGTAATGATGAGTGTCCACCCATCCATTATCAGCATCATCCGATTCAATCACTCTTTGGAATTCTTCTTGATATTCCATTTGTTCGCAACGGCGAGGGCAAGGTACATTGCGTGTAATTAAGAATTGTTTGTCTTTGGGTAGGTAAGGTTTTGTTTTAGACTCGTCGCCCGGAGACCATTGCCAGGTGGGACAATGATGAACCAAATGGTCTCCAGCCACAATAAATTCTTCCGGAGTTAAAACACCAGTCTCCTTAAATTTCGATTCCTAAATGAAAAGTTTTGATCATTATAAATAACCTCAAATTTGAATCAATAAGAACAAATATATTTATTTTATATCTTTTAATATGCTGATAAGATGTGGAATATTTCTGATTGTAATTTAGAACATTAGATATAAGTAATAAGGTCAAAAAAACTAACTAGATAAACGAACATGATACATACATACCTTTAAAACCGGCGTTAAATATTCCGCAACACCTAAAGCGGTTCCCTTAACACTATTAATAACGTTTTGCATAATTTATCGATTCGAAATACGCTTCTTCTTATTAATTTTTACAAAACCTGCTAAAAAAGAACAGATTTAAGATTAACTAAAAATTTGATTCTTATCTGTTTATTTGACACTTAGCAATGACAGTTTTTGATTACCTTATTTCAGTTTGTGCTCATAGATGGCGGGATATTTATCGAGAAATTATATTTATAGTGTGAAAATCATTATAATTTAATAATTTAAAAAACTTATATAAATATTGCTTCATTTTTAAATTATAAATTATTGTTTAAAGTTTAAACTGGATTGAAGAGGATTTTCTTGAAAAGGTTTTAAACCAAATCAAATTTTTTTTTTATTTTATTGTTTTATTTCGGATGATTTAATTAGTTATTTATAATTTGTAATATTTATAAGATTGTAGAGAAAGTGGAATTTAATTATTCATAATTATAAATGATATTGTCAATTTTTAGGTTGGTATTACTTACTATGTCATTTTATTTTAGGTTATGTCTCAACTGCTCAATAAACAATTTTGAATATTTTTAATTTTTAAAAATGATTTTATAATATTATTGTTCTTGTAAGCACCGTTAAAGTTCTCGCAATGGAATACGGAACCGATCTGTTAATTAAAGCAATCAAAATTAAGGATACAAACGAAATAAAATTAAGATTAGCTCAAGGTAGTCCTATGTTACTGTAAACGATTATTATTATTATTAATTTGCAGGTGCTAAAATCAACGAAAGATGTGGTTTAGGTACCACCCCACTAATAGCTGCAGTTGAAACCGGAGATTTAACCATAGTTAAACTTTTAATTGAAAATTCCTCATCCAGATTACATGAAAGGGATGCATCTCCTCATAATAATATTGGTTATTTTGTTGTAAATGGGGATTGTGATACTGACTTAGATGATGTCCTCACACCTGAAGGCATGGAAGCGTTAGAGTGGGATTCAGAGCTTGGTAACTCAGGAAATAATTCACCACCTTCCTCTCCAGAATCTGAAGGGAGTTTGTATCGTTGGTATGCAAGGATATTATCAAAAACTTCGGAGGTTTTACATTTTGGAGAGTATGACATGACTCGGTTAGATTGGAAAGGATGGAACGCATTGCATTATGCGGTTAAGCAAGGTATGTCTCATAAATATAAGAGCAAAATTTGCATTGAGTTCTATATAGATGTGTGAGTAATTAAAAGAATCATTTGTATTATTGTTAATTATTTCAATCTTTTATTTTAATCAAAATTTAACTAAAGCTATATTATATTCAAGTCCTAATCTAGAGGTTCCTTTAAACTTTCTTTAAAGATTAAGTTTCTCTTGCTAGTGGGTCCTTTTGCTGTTCTAGTTGATTATGTGTATTCTCATCTGGTAGTCCCCATACAGCCTTGTGTATATCCCGATGGGTGAAATATATTGAGCTTACTACCACATTTTTCTCTTACTCACTGCAAAATTAATAAAAAAATCATCACCATTTTCGTTAGTATCTTCCTACAAGCTATGCCTGCCAATTGTTCTCACAAATCTCTGCTCCTTTCCCATGTTCATGTTCATAGTATCCCGATTATCTTGTAATTTTTGGGACGAGTCATATACAGTGCTAGCGTAAAGTAAAACGCATAAAAATTAAACAAAATGCGGAATTTCGCCAGAAAAACCAACGTATCTTCGTCGACGCCGGAAAGAAAAATGTTGTGTTGTTAATATTGTGGTGGTTATGTACTATCGGAGGATCAGTGAGGTCTATACAGGTGCTCAAATTATAATATCAAAGTTGAACTTCAGAAAAGCCCTAAAAGTCATTTTTTTTAAAATGCAACCCTAACATATGTAGTAATTTTTGAATTTTATGAAAAACTTTGGATCAACTTTATGTAGAATGCCCTAGGCAAATTTGATTTGCTTCTCTTCTTAATCTATTGATTTCTTCTGTTTGACTTCTAGTAGGTCGTTGTATCATTCTTTATTACGCCTTGTTTTGTCAATAGCCCTTGCATTCCTCCTCATACCAGTCATTACTCGTTACTTCTTCTTGAGTTCCAACTACCTTTTTGGCAATCTTTAGCAGCATCGTTTTAATGGTTGTCCAGCAAGAATCTACTGACCTCCTTTTTTCCTTCTCAACTTCCATGTTTTGTGATTCTTTCCTAACTCTAGTCTTATAATTAATTTGGGCCTTAATATCTATTCGCAATCTTTGTGTGTAGTCAAATCATTTCTCGCAGTTTGATTTTGACAAGGTAGTGGTCAGAGTTCGAAGCAGTTTCTCTGTGGCTTCTTACGTCTGTGATACTAGAATATGATCTGCCATCCACTACCACATGATCAATTTGATTCATTGTTCTTCCATCTAGAGACACCCCGTTCTTTTGTGGATGCTTTGTACCTTTGTGTGAATGAGATACATCGATTGTAATTCTCAGAACTATTCTTTTTCTTCCTGGTCTTTGCCTCAGTAGGTGCATGTATCGAGAAAACCGATAGACTTTGCAACGTCATTTTGATTCGAATATAGTATATCCTGTCGCCGATAGATTTAAAAGCCGTCACTCCTTTTTGTACTTTCCTGTTCACAACAAACCCACAACCAAGCACGTGTTTATTATTACTTCCGTCTCTATAGTGTATTGTGTGCTGCCCTTTTATAAGGGCTCCTGCTCCTAGTTATCTTACTTATTGTCGACAGTAACATCCTGTCTGAAGTTATCAATTTCATTAAGTGTGTATTAATATTTATATCCTTTTCCGAGGCATGTTTCGTAATTGGTGTTTTTTCCGGATTGGCCTCCAGTCCAATCCCCTTTTCGGAGGACCATTTCTTCTGACCTCGTTGCCCTTGACGTAGCTTCTAGCGGGGTAGGTTAGCCGGTCTTCGAAAAGTTACTCAGGTTGATAGGGACTATCACCACAAAGAGGTGAGAGTCGGGATTGAGTAGGAGAGTCTATGTTTGATCCCCTGAAATAACATCATCATTATTATTATCATTTAAGATAATATTTGTGCGTTTTGACCTAAATAAATGTTTTTAAATTTAAAAATGAAATATGTTGTTTTTGCATAAATCCTTTCTTTTGTTCTTTCAGGATACTTAGACATAACTCAATATCTCTTAGAAACGTGTCCCGAAGTATCGGTGAATGATTCAGATTCAGAAACATTCACCCCTCTACACTTGGCAACCAAATACAACCGACCCCAACTAGTAAAATATCTTCTAAGCAAAGGTGCAAACGTTAACGCCTTTACAGAACGCAAAGAAACTCCATTACACATTGCATCAAAGTTGGGTTCCGTTGAAATAGTTCGTTTCCTCTTAAAGAATAGAGCGGATGTGAACGTGTTCGATATTGAAGAGCAATCGGCTCTACACAAAGCGGTTATAAACCGACATGACGAGGTCGCCAAAATGTTAATTTGTGCTGGCACGAAGTTGAATCACGAAGATGTTTATCGAAAAACAGTTATGTTGTATGTGATTTTAAATGATATGATGGATGTAGCTCGAGATTTGGTGGATTATGGAGCGAAAATCATGCAAAGTCAATTTCTGTTACATTTAGTGATAACGAAAGGTGATTTTGAGGCGGTGAAGATTTTACACAGAGGGGGAGCAGTATTAACAGTTAGAGATGATGGGGGCAATACCCCACTTATGCGTGCATGTTCTAATCAGCAGTTTTCGATTGCTAAATATTTACTGGAGAATGGTAAGTAACTCATATTTAAATTAAACAGTTTCAAGTTGAAAATATCATGCACAATTTTTTATTTTTAAATAGGCGTTTCTGCAAACGCTACAAACCCAATAAATGGCCAGACGGCTCTCCACAACTGCATCCAAGCAATAAAAAGCCCGGATTTATTTAAACAATTTTTAGATCTTCTTGTAAATTATGATGTTAATTTAAACTCTCCCAGTCATTACGGAAATCCTTTCTTCTACTCTCTCGATTTACAAAATATTTGTGCTGCTTGTATATTAGTGAAATACGGCATTAACGTTAATTTATTGGATGACAAAAGCGGGTTGAACACTTTGTATTTAGCGAAGAAGAAAGGAAGTTTCGAGTTGGTCAAATTGATAATATTGGCCGGATTTGATTTGAAGAGAATAAAGGATCTAAAGAAGTTTAATGATAAAGATGATAAAAATGACAACATTTTTGAATTTATTGTAAATACAATGTCTAAGCCTCTTTTTTTAAGAGATTTATGCAGGATTAGGATAAGAAGGTGGTTGGGAAAACGATTGATGGTTACAGTAGAGAGACTTCCGTTACCCGTATATTTACAACGATTTTTAACATTAGATATATTGTGAAAAATTACATTTATATTGGCAGCCACATACATAGTTGTTTTAGTATTACAAAGTAGATAACCATTAACCCTAGTAGCTACTAAAATTACTATATATATGGCTGGTAATAATCTTTGAATATTTTACTTACAATTGCGCGAGATTAAAATACCTTTGTTTGTTTAGATTAAAGAATTTTATATCAAAAGTAGCCATCGTAGTAGAGTCATTACACAGATCTGCAAGGTTTTGTTGTCGGTTAGTTGACAATCAATTTTCTGCGTAGAATCATAACCCGATCTCAGAATTGTACCATCACGTCAGGATTTTGAAGAGCAAGGAGAGCGTTTCCATCAGGATATAAAAAAAATGGATAGGCGGTATCAGGAAAAATGATCCACATCTATGCTAATCGACTATTGCTGGTCACTTCAATGTGATGAGCAAGAGGGAATCTAGCACAAGATCTATGGAACACAAGCAAAAGAGATTCTATAAAAGTTAAATACAATACAAAATACGCACTGGCGTGTCCTCGCATCTGGCAGTACTCATCCATAGGCGGTAATTTTAAAATTAGGGGAAGGTGTTGGACCATTATATTTCTAAAGCTAATATTTCAAAATTTATCAGTTACTATTCAAATCTCTTGATACAGGGTTGTATCAACTTGGAACAACGTTGAATGCACCTTGGACCAATTAGTAACTACACCTAATTCTATTTTTCTACATTATTATTAACAATAATAAATTAGATAATAAAATGTGACAAGTACTTATCATTATAAAGAGAATAGAAATAAAGCTTGAAAGTACTTACATAGACATTATATTGACTGAAGTCAACTGAAAACATCTTCATCACTAAAAACAAAGTTTCTGGCCGCTTTTGTGCCAACTATTTTTTTGGAAAAATCTACGTAAAATTGATGAGGGATACCATTAATTTTATTCACTATTCTGAAAACAAAATGTTTCGTCTTTCTAGTTGTACTATATAGTACATAATCGTTTTCTTGAATACAGCGGATTTTGGAAGACAATGTACAATTGAATTTGACGTTTCGTCAACATAATACATTTTGCTTGCCTCAAATTTATACCGCGTTAAGCATTGTTTTAAATTTACTAAAAAATGTTTAAGATTTTGTTTTTGTTGAAGGCTGTAGCACGTGAAGGACTAATAGGCTCAAATATTCGAAGGCTTATTGTTGGATATCGCAAGAGAAACACGGGAATCCTTTCCTTACCAGCATGAATCCTTTCTTTCTTCAATCCATGAATCTGGTATACCTTCTTTATTTACAACACCGAATTCAAACACTAATTTTTGTATTTTGGTCGTCACTTATTTTACTAATAGATGTTGTTTGTTATATTTATGGTATTAATTGATAATTTTTCAAGGGACGAAGTGGTGTTGCTTAACAATTTAGTTATTAGAAAATACTTAGTTTAATCAAACTTAAAAATGACACTAATAACATTAAAAATTACGGAAATCAAAAACCCATTCGAAATTTTTACTATAACTACGATGTAACCCCATCTGTCGTGTGTACTTTCCAGTGTAGTAAATATTATGTTTGTAGAATCTTGTTTTATATGTGAAACTACTACCGGTCCATGGTACATTCGGTCCAAGGTACGTCACATTCCCCTACCATAACTTATAATAGAAAAATCGCACAGCGCCATTCGAAAGTGCATTTTACAGGATAAGGATAATACTATAAGATGAAATAGATAGAATACAGCCAAATAATATTGTACGTTTCACACTAACTTCAAAAGTACTCAAAAAAGTCATTTTTCTTGTACACAAACTCCAATATCTATGTCAAAATCCTGATGTGATGGTCCAGTTCTGAGCTCGGATTCAGATTCCACCCAGAAAATTACTTCGGAAATGATCGTTAGTCATCCAACAACAATCAATACTCCTTTTTTTGCAGATCTGTATTATTTATAATTATTTATTAAACTATTATTATTAAATACTTGTTTAAAAATAAATTGTTTTACTTATTTATTTGTTGCTTAATAGTACCTGATAATCTTTTTTATCTCTTCTAACTCTTAAAATATAAACGTCATTTAACTTATTTGTTATACACTGTTATTTTATAGCAACATCAAGAAAGAAAATTATAACAAACCACAGAAAAGTTGAAATCCAAGTTCGTTGATACTTTGTCATTTTTAAATATAAATCCTAATACATCCTAAATTTCTAATTTAAAAATAATTTATATTAATCATTCTTCTTCCTTTGGTTCTTCAATAGTGAGGAAAATCTTTGGGCCAATAAACGAGAATGGGATATAGAGAAGACGATACAACGTGGAACTTAACCATATGTTCAAGGAAGCCCCTATCTCAGAATTTGTCAGGCTGCAATGAGCTGGTCATGTGGCACGTGTGAGTGAGAAAAGAACATCAAGGAACCGATAACCGCATAAAGTTGCTTTTTCTTGTATTTGTCGAAAGAAGAATATTTGTACTATTATCAGAAGTTGAGCGGTTAGAGCAAAATTCGGACTGATACTCGCCCAGAATTACCTTGACATACTTTTCTTTATATCTTCACCTCCCTACATTCATTTCTTGATTTTCTCGTAAGACGCACAGTGCGACTTGTTGTTTCAATCTTGTTGAATTTCTTATGCGCGACGTTAAAAGAAGAACTGTTAAGAAAGAATCCATGTAAATGCAAAGAGCGTTTTCAAGGATTCCTAGACCACCTAATTTCTCAATACATCCTGATTAAATTTACCATGGAAACGAAAGCTGCAAAACAGTTGCCTTTTTAGGATGTTTTGATCACTAGAAAAATCAATAGGAGTGTATCACCATCCACAACAGATGAGGTCAGTCATCTAAGCCTTATTATAGCGAGCAGGAAGCATATGTGACGGAAAGAATTTGAAGAAAGAAGACGGGCTGCTGAAAGATGTACTCCAGAAGAACGGCTTCAGAACTAACTAAACGATGTCCAGCGAGCTACCAAACGACGCAAGCAGAAGGAAAATACGGTAAGAAGAAAGATAATAAAAAGAATTTATATCAATAGATGCCAACACACGGTATGTTTTTAAAAGAGGCTCTCTCAAAGGAGATTTACTTGTAATAATGTAACGTGATTACTAAAACTACAGTCAACATCATTGTGTATCACAAGAGACGGGTTCGTGGTTATAATCAGATCGATTAATGTGGATGAAACTCTCGTAACTCTAGTAGATTTATTAATAAGCTGTATCGCCTCTACTGATTCAGGAAACTCATGTGAAAAGTAGTAGATATTAAAGTATCCAAGGCAAAAGATATTTACAGATTCAGATAAACGCTCACTAAACGAGGTTTCCAAGATATCGTAAAACTCTCTGTAATTTGCTGTGTCAATTTATCTATAAGATGCGTAAGGTAGAAAACTAAACCTAACAGTTCTGAATTGAGGTTTGAAAAAGAAAGAAAACAAAATTTGAAGGTGTTGAACATGTTAAATCTGCCACATTATGGCAAAAGAAAATACTGATATAGTTTCACAATTTTATTATGGATTAATATTGTAGATAAGAAATGGTTGTTTTGGTCTGTAATAATAGTTTTGTAATATAGTAAATACATCAAAAACCCAATTGATTTATAACATCCAAGTATAATACAATAAGCTACAATTAACAAGTTAAGTACATACATATTTTTAAGACTATATTATTTTATTTAATTTAAACATTTACTATAAACTGAATTTAAAGGTGATCCAACTTGAACATAAAAATTATCTTTTATTTATTTACCTTTAAGGGTTATTGTTTAAGTTGTATCGCCTTAAGAGCAAATGAAATGTCGACACAAGGCAAGAAAAAGAGGTGACAAGAAGAGAATTTTACATATACATTTTTTACTACATTTTTAACAAATCTTTTAAAATATCATTTTTGGCATAATCCACTGCAAGTTTGTTTTTTTTATCAATGTGCCGCTTTAGTGCCATTGGATTATGCGATTGATTTATTAATAATTCACAAATTTTATCATGTTGGTTTTCTGCAGCTCTATGGAGAGCTGTCTTTCCATCAGCGTCTTTAATTTCTGGATCGGCTTTATAAGTGAGGAGAAGTCGAACAACCTCCAGGTGACCTGAAGACCGAATTAATAACATAACATAGTACTTTATAGATTTTTTTATTACCTGTTGTACACGCCCTGTGTAATGGGGTTGCTCCTCCAGACCTTGTCTTTGCATCAACTTTAGCATTTTCCCTCAATAACCATTTACAAACATCTAACTTTCCATGCCTTGCACTATAATGTAAAGCAGTATAACCAAAATTATCCTCAACGTTCACATCAACTCCCGTTTTAACAAGTTTTTGACATCTTTCCAAATCCCCACATTGCGCCGATGCCCAAATCCCTCTTTCAAAATCCAACTCATCTAATGTTTGACGTAATTGGTCTGATTTGTTACAACAATTTTTATGATCACATGACATTTTTAAAAACTAAGATGACATTAATTGTTTGTTTATTAGATATCTCTTTGCATAGTAAAAACCACTTCGGCGTCTCCGGTTGTTCCAACAACTCTGTAACCAAGCTCCGCTAAAGCATTAACGACTTGAATTGGTGACCCTCTTATTAAACAACCGTTCATAACCTCTTCTTTAAAATTATCGAACTTTTTCACCAAAGCATCCGTTTCAACTTTACTTAAACCAAATACCAATGAATTGGTTGATTGAAGAGACGCTTTTACCACAACATAAGCATGGATTCCACTTGTCATTAATAAACTCGCAGGAATTTCCATTTTTCTTTTTCGGTTACGCCCAAATTTTAATCTGGAATGAATTAATCTATTTGTTCGCGTTATTAACTTTATCGTGATCTATATTTGGTTCAGGTTCGTTAAATTCCTTACGCATCGTCCACATATACTCGTTGTAGTCTTGTTTCACGCTGGTTGAACTAGATGCGACCACTTTATAACCCAACACTTCCAAAGCTGTTAAAATAACACAAGGATGTTGCATATAAACTATCGTAGAATCGTCACAATAACCACCAGATGCGAAACGTTTTAATTGTTCGATATCGGTTGCTTTTAATCCGGAAACTAAAACCCGCCAAGGATACCGGTTACCATAAGAGGCCAAGTTGCCTCTTACTAAAATATACGGCATTAGATTATCTTATCAAATTCTTATCGGAAAATTGATAATAAATGTATGAAAAAAAAATAACTTAAAGATTTTAAATAAACTCAAAATGATTTATATTGCGTTTGGAGGCTCACATTTAACCTTTAAAATTTTATTGTGGTCAACAATGACAACCCAAGAGCAATTGTAGTCATTTTGACATAAGATGTAACCTCAAAAAAATTCAATTTTTGGAATTTTAAAATAAATTTTTTTAAAATAAAGAAGTAATTTTAGTACATATAACTTTACTAAATTTATTTAATAATGATTAACTTGTAATATTAAGAAAATGATTTCAATTAATTAGCTTTTATAATGTGATCAGCACCATCTATTCGCTATAAATATAATGAACGTATCGATTATCTGTAATCCAATAAAGCAACAAGTAGAGATGGCGCTGTTCATGATAGTCTGATCATGACTCAAATCAATATATTTTAAACCTAATCTACTACGGCAACGCAACTTATATCCATGAACTTAACTCTCTATGGTTTCTAATATTTTAATTATACCAACATTAATGTACACACGAACACTGTAATCTGCTTTTACACTAACATAAATTACAGCTGCTCAAAGGGTTTGATCATTTTGAGGTTTCTGATCTCGTTCGTATTGCCAAGGATTTGGTTTGGATGGCTTCGACATTGACTTGATGAGAAACGATGAAGACCACCATTTCCATGTCCATATGAACTGTAGCGAACAGCGGGTTCGGTTAAATTTACTGATTGATCTTGTTGAAAGTGATGCCAGAAGCAATATATCATAATTTAAAGAAAGCAACATTGACATACCTACCCCGATCCAATCTCATTACTCAGTACAACATGCAAAGTACTAACAAAGATGTTTGCCAGACGCATACAACCGTTTTTAGGATACAATCAAGGAGGCCAAGGTGTCCCAAATCAGTTGACCGCATAGGCTATCTCCTAAACTAAAAAATATAGAAAAAAAGTAGCTTACGTGATCTCGGTTTTCGATCCTTTCACCAAAGATGAAGTATTATAAATAAAACATTATATGGGAAACTTTTTACGAAGAATTCAGTATACACCTTAATATGTTAAGGCAGTACATCGAGCTTTATGTCACAATTTGCCATTAAATATGTTTCAAATGACATGTATTTTTTTCAACATGACTGAACACCAGTAGATACGTAATGCCAGAGTTGTTAGTGAATTTTTAAATACAATCTTTGGCAATAAATAATTGGAAACATTGTTTTCCATCATGGTATGGTTATTACCATAACAACATTAACTTTTAAATACATACAATAGTTTTAGAAAGAACAAAAAGAATTTTTGCTAACTATTCAACAACTATAATAAATATACCCAACAAACTATACATACATATTTATTATCAGAAAACAATAAAAAATTATTTTAGGTCATAGCCAACAAAAATAAAAAATGGGAAAAAAATTCTACTGAATTCTTCGTAAAAAGTTTATTTAGTATAACGTTTTAATATGTATAATACTTCATCTTTGGTAATAAGTGAGATATTAGCGTTTGTCGTTTTCGCACATTTTTCAGTTTTTGCTGATAGGGCGAAAACAAAAGACGGTAGCTGTTCGGAGTTTTCAGCGTTAGCAGTTTCTCGTAAACGAAATCGTGACATGTAAGCTACTTTTTTTCTATCTCTTTTAGTTAAGGAGATAGCCTATGCGAACAACGAATTTGGGACACCTGTACTACAAAGTGTCCCATCGGTTTGCGAATAATTTGTAAAAATGTTAAAAACGACGAAATTTATGGTTTTATGTTTTAACAATTCTTATACCATGTTAATTCGTCATTACTCTTAATATATTATAGTATGTATATAGTTATTAAGGGAAAAAGCGTATGATGGAACAGTAATGCTGACATACTCGAAGTTACCAAATAATTATTTGTTTATAACCGTTGAATCAATAGTTTATTATAATTAACTGTGTTTTGTAAAATTTTTTTTAATATTTTGATAAAATTCTTTTTTAAACAAACTGTACCGTGTAAACATACTAATTATAGTATGCAGGAGTCGATTGCCTGGGTCTGATTTACGATCTCCTATTGGACGACTTTAAACAGTTCCCGTGCAGTTATTATAAACATTTCGAAAAAATGTTATTCGAAAAATTGCTTCAGCATAATGTATGATGCATCCTTCAACCGTATAATGCTCTGATGTGGAAGATATATCTTCTTTTATGCTTATTATAAATAGCGATTATTATTTATATGTTAAACTAAAATTAGAACTAAAACTAGAACTAACACTAGAAACTTTCGGGTTTTGCCGTGCGTCTTTTAATAAAAGGTTTGACGTTTCGGATGCCATGTTGCAACCTTCTTCAGAAACTGGTTCGAAGTGACACTTCGAACACTTCTAGTTTTAGTTCTAATTTTAGTTTAATTCACACCGGCCGTGAAAGCCTTCGTACTTATATTATTTATACGTATTGATAATACAAAATGATGCTACTTTGTTGTATTTAAAAATTCCTGTTATTTACATTTAATACAAAATTGCATATACAGGGTGTATCTGAATGACATGCCCAAACTTCAAGGAGGTGATTCTTTAGGCAATTTTAAGGGTACTTTGATATATAAACCATGGGCGATTTGGGCTCCCCTAAGGAGCTACACCCCTCCAAAAATGGCGGAAAATTTTGGTTTAATTTTTTTTTCTCAAAAACCATAAACGCTAGGACAACGAAATTTGGGGAATATGTTTAACTGGTAGTAGGGCACGTTTTCACCCTATTTGTACTTTCAACCTATCCTTCTAAACTACTAAACGTAACCACCCCCTTTACATTTTTGCTAAAATTTTTTTATGCAGAGGGTAAATACATTAAAAAAAAAATTACATAGGTAGATGAAAGTATCCTAAAACTTTTTTGTCTCTCTAAAATTTTTCCAAAAACGACTAATTTTTGAGAAAAAAAATAATAAAGTAAACACTGCCCGTTCAACAACGGGGTTGTCGATCAAAAGTTGGAATGAATTTTTAATGAAAAAATCTTAGTAGGCAATCTTTGCCAGAAACATTTTTGACGTTTAAATGTCAGTGGTTTTCTTACTATTAATATTGTTTTTCAAATTAATTTATGAATAAAGTTCTACCGCATTTGCGCTCGTTCACTCGACGTGTCAAAATTTTAAATAAAACAATAATAATAGTAAGAAAACCACTGACATTTAAACGTCAAAAATATTTCTGACAAAGATTGTTAAGCCTGCTAAGATGTTTTCTTTAAAAATTCATTCCAACTTTCGATAACAACGCTACAGCTTAACAGTTAATGTTTGCTTAATTAATTTTTTTCTCAGAAACTATTAACTTTTCGAAGAACATCAGAGAGGCAAAAAAGTTTTAGAACATTTTCGTCTATCTAAATAAAATATTTCCAATGTATTTATCACCGTCATAAAAAAGATCTAGACAAAAATTGAACGGGGGTGGTTATGTTTAGTAACTTAGAAGAGAAGATTGAAAGTACAAATAGGCTCGAAACATGCCCTATTATAAGCTAAACATATTTCCCAAATTTCATTTCCTTGGTGTTAATGGTTTTCGGGAAAAAAAAAAATAAACCAAAATTTTTCGCCATTTTTGAAGGGGCGTAGCTCCGCAGGGGAATCGAAATCGCTGATAGTTTATATGAGAAAGTACCCTTAAAATTGCCTAAAGAATCACCCCCTGTAGTTTGGGCACGTCATTCAGATACACCCTGTATGTATTTTATAAACATTCAGGTAATAAATACGTCTTATATAATTATTAATAAGATTTACTCTTTTTATTTATTTATTAACTATGCATATTTAGACAATAACAAAAGTATTTGCAATACATAATTACATATAATTATTTGAAAATTATACAAAACAATATACTGCAGGTTTGTATTCAAACAAATTCATATCGCACATTTTTACTCCTTTCACTTTAGGCAAAAAGTCGGGTTCTTGTTGAGGATTTAATGTAAAAACTTTAAGGTCAATACCTGAGTGAATCAAAAACAAAAAATAAGAATCAAAATATTGTTTAAAAAAATTAATTTTATTAACTTACCTGCTATCTCATTATAAACAACCGCATATGATTCACAGTTATCTGTATCAATAACTTTTAAAGTACGTGAATCTAAAAATGTTTAAATTATTTAACACTACAATCTTTCGAGAAATTGTTTTTATTACCTCCTAATGCGTAATAAGTTGCATCAGCAGTAAATTTTGTAACTGTAAATGTTATTGATGTGGTTTCACTAAAATAATTCATATTTTGCAATTATCATTATTTATTGAATTTAAAAATGTACCCCTTTACAGTTGTTGTATCAGTTGATTGCATTGTTCCTGGTTTTAGTTGAACCAAATTACGGGTTATACAGCAACCTTCGCAAGGAACATTTCCTGCGTATATATACCATAATTTTTCAGTACACTTTCAAAATAAAATTAACATATGTATAATATTTAAATCGTTAAATAAAACTAAAAAATTATTACCGCAGTTTAGTTGAAATTTTTAACCGCTTTTGGATGACGACAAACATCTTGAGAGAATGAAAAATCTGTTATTATAACAAAGAAAAAATAAAAGAATGAAGAGATTTTAATAAACATTTTCAAAGTTTGGAAAGAAACTGATACCTTTTGAGATTGTTTAACGCTGTTTTTAAAATTTCGTGCTATTTTTAAATAAAATGTGTTTACATTATTTAAGAATAAACATGATTTTAGCAGACTAAATCACCTTGATAACATATCTTTTGTTTTTTGTTGTTAAACCTGATATGGTCCCAAGTTCAATATAAATTAATATACAAAATAATACTAATTAGCCTTTTTTAAAAACAATCTAAAAACGACATTCTTAGCGATTTTGCCTTTAAAATGTGTCAAATAACAGTCAAAGCCTGTAATTATAGTTATTTACTGTAGGTAGATGATAGTATCCAAAGATATTAGATGCACTATACAGCGTGTTCATAAATCTAAGTAAAATTACACGTTTTGCAAAATATTTTGTATACACGGAAAGTGCGACAAAGTTCTTACTACAATACCTTATTCTACGCTTATTTCGAAGCCAATCCCAACGCTTTAATTAGAGCTACCAAAGAAAATCTGGGAAT